GTCACTGGATGAGCTTTTCGGCGATAAGAATAATAAAAGAAAAGGTACGTTTTATAAAAGTTACAACACTCACCTCGCGCTTGATTAATTTTAGATATCACTATACGCTTTTGCGTTCTCCTGGTTATGACATGCGCTAGACTCTACTTCCAGCCTGTTTTGGACGACTAAACTAACTGATGATGATGAACTGGATTAGGTGCCAGTTAACGTTATATTTTATGTCTGCAACTTTATTCAATTGTCATGTCGAGATCGAACTACCACGCTCTTCTCTACAAAACCGTCATACTCTTGGTCAATGGGCTGTGGCAGGCTGTGCACACCGCTACTGTCTCTTCATTGTGTAGAGTACACTTCCTGCATACTCTGCTCCCAGGTTTTGCACTTTCTACAACGCCAATTCCACGAGTTGTGCTACAGACGACGCATATTCTGTGTTCTGGATCATTCAGATAGGTACATCGGGAACACGGCCAATCTTTTTCTCCATCCCCAGAGGCTTCATTTGTATTGCCAGACTCTTGGCTGTAATATGCTTTGGAATCACCCGATGTTTTGTCCTTCAACCTTACAAACGCGTGCTGCCCATTGGTTGTTTCGCAAAGATCGGTGGAAAAGATTTTCATACACCCTATGCACACAATTTTCAGACAGTTCCTACAAACAATTGTACCTGGTAATGCACAATGATCGCAGGTAGCAGCACCAATGGTACCTTTCTCTACAAAACTTCTTTCACGCGATATTTCATTTTGAGGATCATTCTCTGAACTGGTCCCTGGAGTCTGGTCTTGTTGTGCTGAAGTCCGCCGTGATGGACCAGGTGATGAACGTTTTGATCCTGTGGCCTCCGGTGCACAAGTGACACATTCGCTGCCAGGTTGCCTTCTATGTTCCATTTCAGGATGTACCTCTAAGGAATGAACCAAAAAATGAAATCGCTATATATTTTTTTATTACTGCTTGTAACTACAGAAATTGACATGTGATTTCCTTTTAACCAATGATTTTTGCTATCGTTAAACCGGATTATCCTCTCTGTGCCACTTTGTATGTTATGGCCCACAAATATTGCCGATAACGTAGGTTATTATATGACTGGAAACATTACTTCATTGTGATTGGCTATGAGTAAGAACATTTGTCATTAATCTTTAATTTCCTTCGCAGTGCAACTTCCCAGGGGCATTGGTAATTTTCTCACTCATATAATAAAAAAATACCCGTATATGGAAGCTCGAGAAATTAAAGATTAACCCTACTCATGAAATTTGACAATTCTTTCAAATTTCCCTCAACGAAAAGCTCGTACCATTTTGAGAGGATTTTCAAATATTTCTCGTTGTGGAAATCCTTAAATGCACTCACATTCATATAGTTACTTCGTAGCCTTTTGTGAAGCAATGAGAAGAGAACCAAATTAGATGTCATCATCTCATCAACATGAACTCTATAGAAAACTTACCCTCCTCCCCATGCTTATTTAAAGCGACTCTTAATGCCTCCTTGATATACTTGATATCTTCTCCCATTTCACGCAGCTGTTCCTTAATGACGTACTCGTCCTTTTTCCATTGCTGTAGAAGCTCTTTATAGTGTTCCTCAATAACAGGGTCCATACACTCAGTCTTCAATTTGTCAATTGCATCTTCATACTTGGCTCCCCCTAATCTCACTAGTACTGCTCGGATGTTCTGCCAATGGGTGTTGAATGTTGCATCATTAACAGAGGCCTGCCCTGCGAGAGCATACACAGTATTTCTGAAATACTTTATGCGGACAATGTCAGCCTCAAGACTCTTGTCTTCTTCAGATGGAAGGTTGCCCCAGCCATTTGCTGGAGGTCTCAAATCGCATATATTTCTAAGGAGAACCATCAAAAGTGTGATATCAAAAGTTGCCGAAGACACAGAAGATGCTATGGCAGGATACAATTTGCACCACTGTGCTGGGTTTAAGATCTTTTTCTTCCCTTTGAAAAGGGCTTGAAGAGTACTGTGAACAGGGCGACTGGCCAAAACTGTGTGAAGACTTCCGGACGCATGAATACCATCGAATGTGTCTCTTAGGGCCTGAGAACAAATATCAACCAGAAGGCGACACAAACGAGAGTAATTGGTCGTCTCTTTCGAGGATGCTACTGATGGGACAACACTGGCCATGAAGAGGCTTGAGTGCACCAGTTTATGTCAATAGAAGATCAGTTGCCCTGAAACGGGATCAAAGAGCTTTATTTCATGGCAATTCCAACAGCTGTCGAGAACATTCTAGTAAGGGATCGGAAATTTTGTCTTCTTTCCTTTTTAACTTGGCTCCAATAGTAGAGTTTAATTTAAGAACACAGCCAGAACGTAACTCAAGATAGGATGGTGGTATCCAGTGTCCCATTACCGGGGACATAACCGAACAACAATTTAAAAAGCACCTGTATATATGCTAGCCTCTAAATGAACTAATCCTTTGTTTACTAATTCTAAAACCACTATTGATTGCCAATGAGCTCAATGCTGTTTTTTGATAGGCAAGTCAGCCTCTTTTAGGCAAGTCAGTTATTCTGCTCATAAATATTAGCTACTTACTTACTTGTAGTTCTCATTACAAGATGTTGCACTAGAATACAGATTAACAAGTGGTTACCATGGTTACTGCACTTTCAC